GGAGCGCCGCCGTGCTTCCCAAGCGGCGCACTATCCAGTGCGCCACCGGGCCGGCCCATTTTACTAAATATTAATATTCTTTTCTTCCAAGTCATGGGGATAACATTTGGTTTCCTGTCTTGATTTCAAAAAAATCATAATTTGGCCAAGTTTCCACAGACAACTATTACTCTACACAAAATAACTGATCAATTTTATGCAATTAAAAAATCTCCCACGTGTTTGGCTCCATTTCCCTACCTGCCCACATCAGTGTGTTCTCAAGAACTAGAAATTAATTATCATTGACTTGAGCAACACCTCAATCATCGGATGAGAATAAAGAATGAAATGTTTCTTCCTAAGTGTGAATCCATTTTTGTAATGAAACTGCCTGGGGGCAGAGTTGACTTTACAAAGCATATAGAAACTTGTTCCTTAAAAGTGACACCCAAGAAACCATACATTTTAAATCCATTTATTAGAAAGATTACACCCAACCACAACTCGGCACCCACTGAGTAGAAAGAGACTTCATTAAAACCCTCGGGGCCCTCAGCTATGAAGAATAAATTGGTGTATGTGAGTAGAAAAGGGAGAGAAGGAGTGGAGGATAAAGATCTTTTATTTCAAAATTTCCCCAAGTAGGAAATAAAAACTTCAGAAATCTATGATTAGTCAAAGGTATTAAAAAATAAAGTTCGTGTGCATTTGAGAAGCTGCAGGTGGTGCAGAAAAGTATCAGGGCAATTGGAGAGGACAATTGGAGAAGCATTTAGTGATCAACCCATAAATATAAATTTAAAATTGACCTGTTATCAAAAAATATATGGGTGGCCCTTGAATTCATACACTCTGAGAGTCCAGGATGGACATCTGGAATCACTAGGTTTATCCAATTTTTGTCCTCTAGGTGATAGACGTCTAGGAATTTAATAACTCCAACTGAAAGTGTTGCTAAAGATTCCATATTCAGGCTTTCTCTTGATTCTCTGTCTCTCTCTGTCTCTGTCTCCCTCCCCACTCCCTTCTTTCTGCCATGTGATCGGTGACTATAATTTTCATTAGTCAATCACAGTGCTGTTAAAATGAAAGTGTTGCTAAAGATTCCATATTCAGGCTTTCTCTTGATTCTCTGTCTCTCTCTGTCTGTCTCCCTCCCCACTCCCTTCTTTCTGCCATGTGATCGGTGACTATAATTTTCATTAGTCAATCACAGTGCTGTTAAAGTAAATTTGGCCTGAGGCTGCCCCCATACCTTGAGTCCCTGTGTAAGCAACTGCAACCTAACTTAGTACATAAACAGACTGAAAGCCTGACTTAGGAGTATATTTTTGTAACAACTAGCTGAGCCTCAGACAATCACAGGCTGCCAACTGACCAGACCATGCCAAAATAAGGCAAAAACCAAGGTGTAACCAACCCAGCTGTTTTTGTACCTCACTTCCATTTTCCGTCTATAAGAGCTCCCTGCCCAGCAGAACTCTCCTAACCTCTTCTGTCCAGTTCTGAGGGTGCCTGATTGAAAAATGTTCTTTGCTCAATTAAACTCTGTTAAATTTAGTTCATCTCTTGTTTTTCTTTTAGTACTGCAGTAGTCCCCCTTATTTGCAGTTTCACTTTCTCTGGTTTCAGTTACCAGTAGTTGACAGTGATCCAAAAATATTAAATGGGAAACTCCAGAAATAAACAATTCATAAGTTTTAAGTTGCAGGCTGTTTTGAGTAGTGTGATGTCCCTCTCTGTCCCACCAGGGAAGTGTTTCATCCCTTTGTCCATCGTCTCCACACTGCAGATGCTCCCCTTCCTCACTTGCTTAGCTGTCTTGGTTATCAAATGGGAAAAACATAGTGTATACAGGGTTCAGTGCTACCCGTGGTTTCAGGCATCACTGGGAGTCACGGAACATATCCCCTATTGGGTGCTACTGTACTGATTCCTCCTCTCTCCTTCCCCTTGACTTCAGATTTTGTTCTTAGAATACTTGTCAATCTATGTGAAAGCCATGTCAAAACCTCTGTGCAGGTAGATGAGGGATATATTTTTTAAACGAATTTTTAGATATTATGCTTTCCTTTGGTGACTTCATTCACTCTCATGGCTCCTCCCAAACCCACATCTCCAGCCCCAGCATATCTCAAAGCACTGAAATTCCCTTCAAGCTTGTCTTTAGTGTTCATTTTTATGAGATTTCGTCAGCATAAAAACATGACAAAGCTATAAATGGCTGATAAACATCTGAAAAAAGATATAACTTCACTAACAGTTAAAGTAATGCTAATCAAAATAATAAGATACGATTTTTCTCTAAATTGTCAAAGATTAGAATATATAATACCCAGTGTTGGTAGCGGTGTGATAAAATGGGTGCTTCATATCCAGTTGCTGAGAGTGTGAATTGAAACAATCTTTCTAAAGGGCACAGTTTTAAGAGCCTAAGATGTAGACTCCACTTCTAGGAATCTGTTCTAAGGGCGTGATTGAAAATGTGTGCAGATTTATGTACTAGAGTATTCACTAAAATACTAGTTGTTCCCAACAATGAGGATTGGTTAAATAAAGTATAGCACAGCCATTTGAATAAAAAACACCTACTCATTAAAAATCCTGTTTTGAAAAATATCTAGTGACATGGAAAAATATTTATGATACATTATTAAGTGGAAAAAGAAGGATATAGTATTATATATACAATGTGATTCTCACTTTATAAAAATGTGTTTTATTTATTCATATATTTATATGTGCCCTAATAATTCTGAAGATTAGAAGGAAATATATTAAAATTATAATAATGTGTTAAGAAATATTACCCAAAACTTGGAAAAAAGACAAAATAATGACTGTGTGTTCTATATATTTATATGTGCCCTAATAATTCTGAAGATTAGAAGGAAATATATTAAAATTATAATAGTGTGTTAAGAAATATTACCCAAAACTTGGAAAAAAGACAAAATAATGACTGTGTGTTCTTTTTATGTCATTTTGGAACATAGTCTATCAAACCCACTCAATAGTTATCTTATTCTCTAGGCGACATTCCTCTGTTTAACTTATTATTTACTATTGATTAGGTCCTGGACTCCGTGAAGTTATTTAATACCATGTAGATTTTTTTTCCAGTAGCGAATCATATTATATCTGCCCTGTATAAAAGACAACCTCCAAGATCATAGTTTTAATTTCCGTAAGATATTTTTGTATCTAAACTAGCAATCTTCTTTCATCGTTCCCTTATACACAATATACTCAGACTCTCAAATTCACTTTCATTCAGTTTTATCATTTTGCTGGTTCCCTCTTTAATGAGTTAAATAAATCTTTGACATACACTTACCTTAGATTTGAAAGAGAATCAAATTTTTAATATTTTAAAATACTTGGACAGTGGATTTATATGGGTATTAGGTTTATAGGAGATTTTGATTTTCTGCTTTATATTCTTCTGTATTTGTCAGACATCCATTAAAAGACATGTCTACTTTTATAATAAGAAAGTGTATGTGTTTATGTGTTTACACGCGTACTATACTGATTTCACAGTTCATACTTTCCCTATACCCCGGTAAAGGGCCGACCTCCCTGAGTACTTCTACAGGTGGTTTTGCAGTCGATAGGGAAGACCCTGACTCCAGCAGAAATATAGAAAAAGATGTTGTTATGCTGCCTGAAAACTAATCTGTGTTACTGGATAACCGCAGAGGTGTCCGTGATCACAGTCAGCTGAGCCGGGCACAGGGCTGACCTTCAGCGGGAGCTGAGGACGTGTGCCTGCATAGGCAACCCCTTCATTGATGGAAACTGAGTCGAAGTCCCATGTGAAGAAGTGCAAAGTGCAGGAAGGTCTGAAATATGAGACCCAGGGGAGGGCAGCGAGGATCACAGGAGGAAAGGGGTCCGCCCAGAGGCAATTGCCAAGTGCCCTGTGTTGGCAGGGAAGGGAGCTGGTTCAGCCTAGCCTTTGGCACTTGCTGTGCTTTTATCTTTTATCTTCCCCTCCGAACTTCACCTTATTTCCAGCCCCAAAGCCATGCAGCCAATGTGATATGATTGCTGGTGTTGGCTTAGAAACGCACATGAGAATTTCTGGCAGTTTCCTACCTTTTTCGCTCTCCTTTGTCTATTTTATTGACCGGAGAAGATATTCAGTGAAAAGTCCAGATTTTGAGCACCAACTCTTTAAGTGCCATCTTCCTGAGGA